TAACCAGTTGGCGACCCATTGGACTGTATGGGTGTCTACGCCACAGTCCCCCAGCTTCCTAATGAGAATGGGGTGAGAGACAGTATCAAAAGCCTTCCTGAAGTCTAGGAAAACTATATCCACTGCCACCCCTGCATCCAATGATTTAGTGACCTGGCTGTAAAAGGCCACCAGGTTGGTCTGACTTAGCTTATTCAGAATTGATTTGTGTTGCATTTTTTTGAATGTGTACTGCAAGTTTTAGCACAGGTACTTCATAAACACACTTTTAAGCAGCACTTTGGCACCTACTTATATGTAGTACAGACTATGCATGATATTAGTCCAAAGCCAAAGGCTTGTGATTTACCAGGCGGTTTGTTGGGCCGGGTGCAAGCAAAGCCAACAGCATTTCAAGCCATGGTGATCCCACAGCTCAGCACTGCTCAGTATGTGCGTGTACTCCAGATACCCTCCCCACCCCACCATAAAGGACCCATGTGCTGATGAGCCTGGACTTGTGACTGGAACAGGAACTGGGTGTTCTTGTCACGAGTCCTGGGATGGTCCATAAGGTATATGCAGATGGGGAGTAGAGCAGCTTGGTCTGACTTCACCTTATGGAGGTGCACTAATTGTATGTGCCAGGCTGAGAGAAGGGCCAGCAGAGGGATTCTGGGTGAATTGTATGCAATGCTGTGACCTACTAGGACTGGAAAAAGAGTTGGAGGTGGGGGGAACTGCACTAAATTGGCACTTCTACATGTCTTATTCAGGTGGGCTGTACTAAGCAGTTCTTGTGGTAGGTTTCCATCAGCATGTTTGGCCATATGATTTATAGTCGTGCTCAGTGTTGGCTACACTTTCAGCAAGGGAAGTTTAGGTTAGATATTAGGAGGAACTTTTTCACTAGGAGGGTAGTAAAACACTGGGACATGTTACCCAGAGAGGTTGTGGACTCTTTATCTTTGGGAGGTTTTTAAGACCTGGTTAGACAAGGCCTTGGCTAGGATGATCTAATGGGGATGGTCCTGCTCCAAGCAGGTGGTTGGACTAGATGACCTCCTGAGGTTCCTTCCAACCCTCATTTTCTGTGATTCTATTTAATTGTTTCATAGTTGGTTTCCTTTGCTGAGCACTTGTTAATGCAGTAGTTTAATGACAGCCAGTGTATTTAATGAGATTTCATTGTATGTGCTTATAAAGTGAAGGGGCTTGCCTCCCTGCCCCTCATGCCAACCGGGGGAGAAAAACCTCATCTTGTATATCAGTACGTGCAATAATTCCTTTGAGTGCAACACCTGAACATGTGAGAACAGCTCTTGGAAAGACTGCCTCAGAGATTTTACTTTCCTCTGCAGATGTTTTGGTTTTTAATTTTCTAGTTTATACTTCTGAACATTTTAAGGATGCCATTCGACCTGAAAGGTGTTCTTTCCTGCCCTCAGCTGAACTCTTTTGGCAGTGGTCCTGCAGAGAACAGTTTGCTGCTTTAATCTACCTATGTAACTTGCTCAGAGAAATGCACAATTTCAGACTAGCATATCAAAAAGAAGGAAAAAAAATATAGGGAAGGTAGACGTTGAGGTTGTCAACTCTTGTGAGATGGAAGAAGTTGAGATTAGGCTAGGAGTATGGACACTCCTAGAATTTGAGGGTAAAATATTGGGAGATACTTGTATACCTAGTACACAGGAAGAAGGCAATGATGTAAACAAGGCCAAGGCAGAAGATGAAGGGGGGCAGCCATTGTGGCTATGAAGAGTGCCGTACAGGGTCACCTGCTTTTGTCACAGTAGCAGTGGAGTTGATTCTGCTTGTTGCCCTTATTACTGATAGGAGAAAAGATAACCCCATGTTGGCTGCTGCAGAAGGGTGCCATGCAGGGCCATCTACTCTGTACAATAGTACCACATTATTCTGACTGTAGGCTGACCCAGTGTATGAACTGACTGAGGCTTTTATGGCTCTTTTTGAGGGGTAGGGCAAGGTTGACCTATACTTGGAACAGTGTTATTTCAGCTAAAGAACAAAAATAGATGTGAAAAATTTAGGCTGAATTAGAAGGAAGTAACTAACTCTTTTATTAAGGAGGCTCTGGAACAGCCCCCCCCCCCCCCCCCCCCGGGTGGGGGGGGGG